AACATCATTTACAGTATAAATAACCTGGGAAAAATATCAAAAATTGTTTTCATAATGTATAAACTGGTTTTGGGTATTTGTGTGTATTTAAGTGTATTTTAGTGCAATTAACTTTAGAAAATAAGAGAAAAATAGTTTACAGTAGAGAAAAATCCTCAAAATTTGTATGTAACCTCCTACTATATAATATGATATCCTGCTAAATTTTCATGAATTTTGGATAATCAGAACTATTTTTCCCATTTTTAGACCATTATAATTACCAAAAATTGGGAAATATAGCTAGACATGATGAAAAATCTTAAAATTATTTTCTGGAGTCACCCATCACAGGTAAGGGATTCAAAAATTGTTAGATACAATTTGCACATCATCTAAAGTGGTTTTGTAATTTATCATGCCCTAAACAAAATAAAATTAGAAATCACATGAAACAGTAACAAAAATTGCTAAAATTTGGTGAGGAGTCATTATTCCCCATAAGGATAATCCATGAATTTATTTAGGATTTATTGACCTCTGAAAGTATTTTATATGATTTATGCCCTTGGTTTTAGCAATAATTCTAATAAATCAAAGAAATAACAAAAGCTTTTGAAATTTTCCAGATTATCTCATGCATGCAAGGGATTTCAAAAGTAAAAATGTTAAAATGTATTCAGAAGAGAAATGAGGATAATGATTCCAAACAATTTAAGAAAAGTTGCATGCAATAATGCATGAAGTGTAGATGTGGCTGAAGTTCATGAATTTGTGTAGCCCATTCATTGAGGTTTTAAGCTATGAAATTTCAACCATCATTCACTAGATATGTTAAGTTTCTAAGGTATTTTTCCTCACATTTATGGTTGGGTTTAAGGCCATTTTTTAAGCAAGATAAAAATAGTGATCACAGAAAAAGAGCTGTATGCGCAACCTTTTTGTAAAATCTGCCAAAAACCGGATATTTAATTTTTTACAGTGAGACAAGTTGGGTTTGAAAGTTAACTCGTGGAACTAAACAATAAAAAACGAATATCATGATTTGGTTAAGAAATGACTGAGTTATGGCCGTTCAAAGTCGAACAAAGTAATCTGGCAGATTGCATGTTTGTTTGTGTGCATTATTAGGGTATTTCAACAAGAACATCATGCATGCCTTTGGTAAGATCCGATTTCTAAGACATGCATGGAATGAATGAGCATCCAATATGTACTAGAAATGGTTTAAATGCTTTTGGTCATGCATGAACATAAAAGAAATGGAGAAGAACATGAAATATTAGATTTTGATGTCACATGATCATATGTGCATCTTTTTCACTTCTTGCATGGGTTTGATCCCGGATTTTCACCATTTCAAAAACATGAATTGTGTTATGGTGAGAATCTACAAACCTCAAGGGGAGAATAAAGATTTCTAGCCATGGAAAGGCATAGAATCCGAAAAGTAGAGAAGATTAAGAAGAAAAAGAAGTAGAATCATGAAACTATGGAAGAAGATGATGTTGTTTACCTTGGTTATGATCATGAGAGAAGTAAGAACACTTCAAGGTCTTCAAAGTCTTGAAATTTGGCAGAGAAATGAGAGAAATTTCGTGAGTTTAGAGAGAGAGAGAGAGGAAGAGAGTGAAGTGTGTGAAGAGAGTGAAGTGAGAAGAGTGAAGAGAGAAGAGGTGGAGTGTGGGTTTGAGTTTAATCATGAGTTTTAGGAAGAGAGTGCATGGGGAGGGGAGGATGGCCAGATTTTTTGAGTGGGTTAGGTCTCCTCTCTCCTAATTTAAATTTTATAAAATTTAACTCCATTATTTATATAAAGACATTCATTTTTTATAAAAATGCTTATTAAGCAATTTGATTTATTTAAAAATCTTGTTTTCAACAAATAAATTATGATTAATACTTGGTAATTTAATTTCTATTTCATTGACTATAATTCATAATTTGATTAATAACAATTTGATATTAGGAAGTTTATAGCCAAATTTTATAAGGTGTTTAAGCTTTATAATTTATAACTTTGGATTTTTGGCTCTTTAGGGTTTTTGGAATATTGTTTGATATTCAACAACATGTGGAAGTATAATTAGAATGTTTTAATTTATTTTTAGAGTTTTATACCGTATTTCAATTATAACAAAGCTTGAAGCTTTATTCTAATTATAGTATTGGCATTTCCTATTGTATCTATGCAACTTACTAGAATTGTAAGTATCAAGTATATTAGTCCTAGACCTTAGTTGGAACCTAGTTTATGCAAGATTTTGACCTAATTTTTTTTTGGAAAGGGAACTACCCTAACGAGGGTTTCCAGGCCAGCTTTCGCGCACCGACTAATCCCCCGCTGCAAACACAAAGCTTTGCCTCATGCCCTGAAGTCACTGCAGGCGAACCTCCATGGCCACAAGGGCTGAGTAGTGCCAGGATTTGAACATGGGTCAATAGGTTATCCACCATATCTTCCACATGCCTTACCAAGTCACCACAACCCAAGCGGTTTATTTTGACCTAATTTATACTACTAGGCCATGGAATGTTGTGCATGAATGATTTTTATAAAGATGCACGAGTCCGAGAATGACCTGAATTGGCAGTTGTCACACTACCATGATATGTTGAGGATGGAGATCAGAGAGTTCATGAGCATTTATGAGCATAATACTATTTCCTACCTAGTGGAGGTAGCCAGGGATAGAGAGCTAGAGTTAGAGACCCAACAATAGAAGCGGAAGCAAGATCTAGTTCATGTATTAGTATCAGCCATGAAGAACAACGAGGTGATTGATGTTCGATCCAGAGACCTATGGATTCACGATTTATATGGTATGTGGTTTGGCACACTAGGGTATTTGTGGTGCATTAGTCTCTGGGTGTTTCAGATCCACTCAGGAGGGTCACACAGCCGGGACTATAGTCATAGGGAATCGAGGGTATGCTTCTTTTGCAGTCATCTAGGTCATGTTAAAGTTTATTGTCCACAAAGAGAGGGTGGGATTGTTTTTGATACAACACCATTAGTTTTGCAGTTACCGGATGGACGGCATGGGACATTTGGAGTCCCAAGGGTTATGGTTTGAGTTACCAGATTCATTATTTCATTTAGGTGCATCATTTACCGGTGTTATCAGTATCATTTATGATCATTGTTTTATTGTAATCCTAAATGATTTGTTGAATGATATTTATTTTATTGAATTTGGTTCTACATTAAATGATTGTTTGTGTATGGTTTTCTTTTTGTTGTGTCGTGTGGCCCAAAATTTTGAATGGTTATGAAGTCATAGGAGTCTAGTTAATTCCAAGTGGGGGAGAATTTCTTATTTAGGATGCAGGATTGTAAAGTTGCTAGTCATCTCAAATTTTATATTCAAGGATGGAGGGTATCAGGTTTTGATTTTTGTCAAGGATGAAGCTCGTGTATGAAATTTTGTTCACGAGTTAGTTTACGACCAAGGAAGAAGATGCCAAGGATTCAGGGTTATCTCATCAGGAAGACTAGGAGCATCGGTGGTGACGCATGATAGAGCTAGTAATTAGGCTCAGGATGAGGGTTGTGTGAGTGTCTCTCTGCCTCTTCTTGTTTTATGAAGGCTCTGGGGTTTGAAACACGACTTAAACACCTGATTGGGTCTAGTAGACTAGGGATTCGTTTTATGTATGTTTATGTTAGATTATTTTGTGGTATTGCATGAAAGACCACGGGTGAACTATAACATGAAAGACTGCAACTGGTTTGTAGCAACATTAGTTATTATAAGACTGTGGGTCGACCATATAGTTATGTAGAGTCAAAGTTGTTGTGATATATCGATATCTTAGGTAATAGTCAAAGTTAGGTTTAGGGTTTCCATATCGAAGGTCTACATGACTTTGATTCGGTATGTATTTTATCAGCCATTTATGTTGTATCTCTTTTAATGTTGAAGTCCTGATATACTTTTTTATCTGTCGAGTACACTATAAATAGTGTAGGTACTTAAGTCATTTGTAACTTTTGGTAACATTGTGCCTTCATTTACTCTCAAATGTACTTGTACCATCTCTAGATAATATGAACTGAAACTAGATTATGTTTACATCATTGTGTTCATATTAACTCTGATTACTCATTCGATTGATTCCGTAACACTTCATTTGGTATCAGAGAAGGAATTGACAGATTGATTGAATAATTTTTTTTTTTTTTTTCATTTTATTGACTCAATTCTTCTGATTCAACATTTTTCACAAGTGAAAATGTAACTCTTTGATTGATCTCTGTGATCTAGCGATTCTCACTACAAGAAAAATAGCCTTTAATGACGCGCAAACAATGAAACTCGCTGATTCACGTTACACATTTTTGGGCGTCTTTAAAAATAATGTCAGACTTCCAGAATTTGAAGGATAGTGGACACGCATTTTTGCGTGCCCTTAAATTAGTGTCTCAAGAAAAAAAATTAAAAACACGGAGGGCACTTTATCTTAAACGTGCGTCTTCTGTAGGCGTCGCTTTATAATTTTAAGGAAACACGCCTTCAGAAGATAACGGGGGAAACAAAACCCTAAAATTTTGAAAACCTGCCTTTCTTTTCTACCCTCTTTTCTTTATCTTCACAATCAACTCTCCCCTTTTGTTTCTCTATTTCGATGGTTGTTTCCCTCTTACCCTAATCACGTCGTCACCGCGAATCACACACCACCAGGCAGTGGAAGAAGATGATGAAGTTTGTCATTGTCGTATGCTGCTCTCCCTCCCTATCTCTAACTATCTATGCCCTTTCTTTATTCTTCACTTCTATGATCTCAACCTCCTATTCACCCCTCTAAAGCCTTACTTGTAAGTCCACACCATGCTTGTTCTTATCTTGTTATGGAAAATCAAGAAACATTCGAAAAACCTTAGGGTTTCACTGTGAGGCCTCATTTCTTCTTATCAGTATCGAATTTCTTCTTGGCTGAGGGGCCAGATTGATGAGACCTGTGAGAATTCTGAGATCGATCATTGCTCCCTGTGTGACTGTGTGAGGATATAGAGATTAATGGCTACGACAGGGTTTAGCAGACCTCCTTATTTCTTCTCTACCAGGTATAATAAATGTTGGGTCAAGTCTCTAGCTCTGCATTCTCTCTACCTCTACATTCTCTCTCTCTCTCTCTCTCTATCTATCTATCTATCTCTCTCTCTCTCTCTCTCTCTCTCTCTCTGGAAAATCCTAATCACCCTTCTGGTTTTCTGAAGCAGGAAAAAGCATGGTTTGTGTATTTGTAAACCCGATATAGAGATTTTTGGGTCCGATTTTTAGGGATTACCATAAATCCCCCTAAATCCAACCATTACACTTATTCATTCCCCATAAATCCCTTCATCTTGATTAAGATCTACAAACCCCCTAAATCCCCCAGTTAGAGTATCTACCATGGATGCTTTATGCCGACCTAATCTCGATCTTAGTAATTCTTCACCCCTTTCATCAATTTACACCAAAACCCCTCAAACACCAACCTCTTAAACTTTTCCCTATAAGTACCGATTATATTCTTCCAATTTCAATGGTTACCATAGCAAGTGTAAAGTACCAACACCACCTCAAGCTTTACCCAAGGCAAATCCGAATGAATCAGTTGAATCCAATAAGAAATTGATTGATTCAATCGCTAAAGGTTTGATCGGGCTCGCTGCTGCAGTCTCTGTTTGTTTAGATTCTCCAGCTCTTACCGAGTCCTTGACAATAGCATTCCCAACTTCTCATACTCATGAGGTAGGTGTTCAGTCCGATCTTCTTTTTAGTAGTTTATTTGTGTTGTGCAGATAAGGTGTTCAATCTATTGCTTATATGGGTTTGGTAAAATTTGATTTTGTAACAGGTGAATGCTGTGCAACGAACTCTCATAGAGACTTGGGGTTTGATCATAGATACTTTTGTTGATCCAACTTTTAATCATCAAGGTATGATTCATTTCTGTTGTTTTATGTCATTTAGTGTCAATAAGTTTAACGTATGTTTATGTTTTTTCTCTAGACTGGGACTCGAAATTCCAACAAACAATGGTGGAAATGCTTCCACTTAGAACAGCTGATGTCGCATACAGCAAGATTAAAGGAATGCTTTCTACTCTTGGAGATTGCTTCACTCACATTATCAATCCAAAGGTGCAACTTTTCCCATTACTTTTACAAAAAAATTCCCTGTGGTTTCTAAAATAGTTTTCATTTTTGGACTAAAATTCAGAAACAACAGGGACCATTTTTGTAACTTATTCTTACTCCTAGATTCCAAAAGGGGAAACTTACTCTATTTTCTTTTCGGCAATGATTTTTACAGGAATACCAACGTTTTAAAATTGAAAGTGATGGAAATGTGCAAGGAGTTGGACTATTTGTGAATACTGAACCAGAAATCGGTCATCTGGTTGGTGATGCCGAGACTTGAACCCGAGACCTCAGTTATGGATTTTTATTTATTATTTATTTTTAAAAATTTAAAATTTTTTGTTTTAGGTTGTATTATCCGGTGTTGAGGGTAGCGCAGCTACTAGAGCTGGAATACATGTAGGAGATGAGTTGATTGAAATAAATGGAGTGAGAGTTAAAGGGATTAGTGGTGAAGCTGTTGCACAAAAGCTCAGAGGTCATGTTGGGACAAGTGTTACAGTTAAAGTGCACAATGTAAGTTTCGTAGGTAGGAATGGAATGGTTGATTCCTTTCCAAAGGGTTTTATAGAAATTTGTGCATGTTCACATTTCTGATCTACAGGGAAAAAAGTTAGCCATTGAATTTAGTTTTAGAGAGGTGAAACTACCCCAGAATTTCATCAGACTTTCTCCTATATCAAGTGTCTCATTCCTCATAGAACACCAAATGGTCATGTATCCAAAACCAGATATGTAAAGCTATTAGCCTTCTCCCAGGTGCTTATTAATTTTCTAAATCTTAGTCTTACTTTATAACTTCATATCTTAAATTCATCTAACAACAAGTTTTTGTAAATAGACTGCTGCAACAGATATGAAACACGCCATTCGTGAATTGGAAAATCAGGGTGTTGAATCTTACATTTTGGATCTCCGAAATAATCCAGTAAGTAGCTTAAAGTTGACTTTAGTAAACTTTTGTTTGACTATTTACTAGTATTTATATATATATATATATATATATATATATATATATATATATATATATATATATATATATATATATATATATGTTTATTTATAGGGTGGTTTGGTGAAGGCTGGACTTGATGTAGCTCAAATATGGCTGGATGGAGATGAGACTCTAGTGAACACAATAGATCGAGATGGGAACATGCTTCCTATTAACATGATCAATGGCCATGCTCTTACTCATGATCCGCTAGTTGTTCTTGTAAGTTTTTTTTTTTTTTTTTTTTTTTTTTTTTTTTTTTTTTTTTTTGACATGAAAATCTATATATTCACCTTCTGTTACATCTTTTGCTAGTGCTAACATGGCAGTGAGACAACGGCCACATCAGAAGAAGTATAAGCTGAGAATTGGCTGTGTTAATGTGTCCCATTCTCATTAACCTGGTAACAGGGAGCACACAAAGGCTACAACTCAAGAAACATGTGACAGTTGGCGAAAAAGGTGTTGTTTTATGCCCCCCCCCCCTTTTTTTTTTTTTTTTTTTGATATTTTACATTTGTATAAACCTAATATGGTTTTGATTTCTGAAATAAATTGATTTGTGCAGGGGAAATGAGGTTTATAAGAGTGGAGATTTATCAGAATCTTAAGTATGTTATTCAAAGGGTATTAGTTCAATACAACATAAAGAGACACCTGGCGTTTGTATACAACCTCTTATTTTCTGTTATAGCAATCGTGTAACTATACGCATGGCTCTTGGAAGAATGAGGGAAAATGTCTAAACGACTGTAGAATGGCTGCTACATTAGATCCCAATTTCATGAAGGTCAATAAGCTCCTAATCAGAGAAACTACTTAATATGAACGGAGAGGCTCTTCTCATGGTATGTGAATGTGATTCATAATCTTTGTTAGTTTAATAATTGAAATTGACTGATTTGCCCCTACTTATTACACAGCTGGCGAAGCATAAAGAGGTGGTTCAACTATGTGTGTAAACCCTAGATACATCGGGTACTCAAAATTCTACCAATTTTTTAACTACTTTCCCTTTACTTTTGAGTTTTAACCTCTTAATATTATATGATATTTATAAATCAGGGAGGGGAACTTCAGTGGTGAAGATACTGTTAGGGTTACCACCATGAACAAGCATGGGAAGCATGATTTGGATATTCCAGTCATTGTCAACCCAAGAAATGATCCTCCATTTATTAATGTCCCTGAGTTCATCATGTTGGAGAATGTGACAGAAGATGATATTCACTTTCCAGGTCATATTCACTTTCTAGGTATATTACAGTTTACAAGAAATAACAACATACTTTTATGTATTTGCTTATTGTGAAAACATTTTACTTTTATTTCTTTCTATTACAGTTTACAACACTGCACTTTTCAGTTATGCTCTTACAAGATTTGTTGTATGTCATTTAATCCCAAGCCACTAGACATCAGGACAGTTATTAGCTTTTGTACACAATCATCTAACTAAATGTACCTTTTAAACTGGGATAGTGTAGGCCTATGCATGAGATCACATTTTCAACAATAGACATACCAAAGCTCCTAAGTCGGGTATTAAAAATTCCACCTTTTACCCTTGGCTTGATGCATATTTACTATTTAGCTTATTATTTTGATTTACACTTGCAGGCATTAGAAGCCAGGAGCTACATAATGATGTTTCATAGGTGCTCCCTGGTTATAAACAGGTATGAATATGATTTACGCTTCCAGTTCACATTGTATCCAATTATGGAGAGGATATTTGGCCCCATAGTAGTAGCTCGTATTGCAGGAGTAAGCAATTTTTCTTTAATTTAGTTTTTCTTTTACCATTTGTTTAATTTAATTATTCATTTTTGATGTAATTATTGATTTTGCATGAGAGAAAAAAAGTTTTATATATGAATCTTGAAAAATGGGATGTTTGGTTGTTATGTGAGGTCTTGAATATGTTTTGTGTAGGTTATGTCTATACCACTACTCATGAGTTATCCATTCATATCCATGTTGACTGGATTTGCTCTATCGTTGACTTTAAATTGTGCATCCATTATAAAGAATGTTTTATATGTAAGTTTTTTAGGGACTAAATCTGTCTACTTCATTAATTGCATGCTACTATTAGTTTATTACTTAATATAAGATAATATTTGCACATATTTATGCAAAATGCAAGAAATGTTATAATTATTTTTATCTTGATAATTTGGTTTCTTGTCATCAACAGGTATCCATCATAACGGGGACATTCATGCTGCAAAATAAAGTTGTGGTAATCTTCGCCTCCTCAGTTCTATAGCTTTTTTTAGGGTTAGATTCATAAAGTAACAATGAACTTTCATTGATTTATTTATTTATTACAAGTTTATAACATCCTAATTTCATTTTTTCTTATTAGAACATTGTACTTTGAAAAATCTACCCAATTATCTTATTGTATAGCTTGAGTGCATCTGTGGCTTAATCTTAATAATAATTCAGTTTTATATTATCTTATTGCCAAGTTTGTTTAGTAAGCTTAAGAAGAGTAAACATGGTATCCTTATTTCAGTTGCAGTCAAACCACAAGCTTCCGGGGCCAATTAAGTTGTTGACACATTTTCTGAAGTCAAACACCTTCTTCTTGGGTATAAGTTCAATAGCAAATTCAGTACTTTCTTGTGTATAAGTTCTATTAGAAGACAAACATATTTTTGATCCCTTTGATATCCATCTGTCTACTTTGGAATGATTATTTGTATGACATTAACTTTTGTGCAATGTATTATATTTTTGTATATGGTATTTTATTTTCTATTATGAGACATGAAATGGAAATTTAATTTGAAATTAGTAAATCTATAAATAAGTTTTTTTTAAACAGTTGAAATTATGATACGCAAAAATGTGTGTCGTCTTCATTTATGACATGGCCTTTCTTGATACTCATTGCGTGTCATTAACACGCACGTCGTAAGGTTACGATACGCAAATGCGTGTCGTCTCCCTTTATGACAGGGCCTTTCTTGATACGCATTGCATGTCGTAAACGTGCATCGTAATTGCGCGTCGTAAATGAGCGTCGTAAATGCGCATCGTATGTAGACGACGCGTAAAAGCGCATCGTCTCTCTTTATGATAGGGCCTTCCTTGACGCACATTTGTGCGTCGTCTGGGCCCTTTATGACGTGCAATGAGCATTGTAAAAGGCTGTTTTTCTAGTAGTGTCTACAATCATTAATAATTCATTTATATCAACTTTTTTTCTTTTCAAGATTTTATTCTTTTCAAATCAAATTAATGGAAAATTTGAATGTGAATACTTTGATGAATTTCTTTAATTTTCTTGGTTCATCCATGAAGATTCCAATGTTGCTTCCGGAATACTATGACAAGTGGCTTGATTGAATGGACGATTATCTAAATGGAATCAATGAAGGTTTGTAGCGATCGATTGATAAAGATTCATTTTATTAAGATCATGTTCAAGCAACAGGAATAGTAGGTCAAAATGAAGATATGATTGCTCTAAGCATTCTAACACTCATATGGTGTACATGCAACGCTAGATGCTTTAGATATATTTTTTCTCTATTATACATGCATACATTCAATATTCCAAAGCATCATCCTAACTAGCATACAATGGAGTATAAACAACATGAAATACAAGTTAGATGACATAACTTTTGTTGTTGTTGAATGCCTTGGACCTTTAAGAGCTTAGTGCCCCAAGTGTTGCACCTCAATTAGAATCACAACACAACTTTGGACATAGGAGACTTTTGAGATAGTATCTTCTTGCACCAAAATCGGCTAGCCCTATAGTATTCCACTTAATTGCCATTTTGGTAGCCATGAGCCTTCTTATATAGTGTGACACAACTAGGGTTACATCATGCAAACCCTAATGTGCATGACTTTCCATATTCCTTAGGCTCCATGGGTTTTAACCTCCATGGAGTATCCAGGGGTCACCACATGGGTTTAGCCCTACAAAGGGAACTATGGATCATAAGCCCACTTTATGAGAATGAATGATTTACACAATTAATCCACATATATTTTATTAGTCTCTGTTGATCACAAAATTAATTCCGAATTAAATTTTGATCAATACTAATTAAATAATATGATTTTATATTAATATATTAGAACTTATAATATATTAATAAACCATAAATAACCTCTTCTCAAAAGTCCATCCTATCAAATTGTCCAGGTGATATGCAACCCAAATGGACCATGCTACTCTCGGGTCAAGTACATACCAATAATAGTTATCGGATTAGACACTTAATCCAATAGTCTCCAATTTGGATAAGTATAATAACTATTATTGCAAGCATGAATCTAACCCGACTAGCAATCGTAGCTCTTAAAAGCCGCTGTCGAACTCTAATCTAGTCAATGACACATCCATTAGATATGGGATCATATATTCCTCCATTCTAGATATCATATGGACTGAGACATGGATTATAATCATTCTCTCTGTCCATCTGTTGTTTCCTGATTTCCAATTTATGATGACTGACTAATTGAACAAATCAAATCAGTCTAAGGTTGGCCAAGCACTTAGAGATCTCATCACTAAATCATCGACGGGCCCACAAATATCGGTTTTATCCACATAGGGTAAAACGAACGGATAAACTTCGACCCAAATGTTTGCTTGTACTTACTTATCAAATTACATACAACGATATGTTTTATAACATCCAAGTTACTAGTGTGTTTACATATGTCAATGTGCAACCGAATCGCAACTACAACTCACATGTCTCCATTTCAAGAATATAAGATATTATCATCTCACAATCACTCGTGATAAAATCCATGAAGTGATTCAGATGAGCGTAGGTTGGATCCAGTACTCGATTCTTATTCAAAGAGTACTCATGAACACTGCAGTTATGTCCTAGACAAACTATAGACCCATTCATGATAGTCTTGCCTCAATACCTAATTCCAAAGTATGATCGACTGTGGATGGTTTGAATAACCTAGTTATTCGGGAAGTCAAAACATGCAAAATGAAACACAAGAATAATACAAATCCTATATGGCCCAAAAACTTTTGAGTCATACTGATTACTCGTTATTCATTGTAAAATGTTTCAAATTGTGACATCCCCATTTTCACAGCTAGAAAAGACCAATTTTGTTTATGCTTTATAAAAATCAGAGTACCTCTTTTAAAAAAAATGTTGTGGAATTTGTTCCTAGTAAAACATGATAAATACGTTATCAAAGCATTTCCAAAGAAAAGTATTTTTATTCATTTTAAAACATTTGGGTTGTCATCTTCAATATAGAAACATAAGCATAAACAAAACTTACATTTAGTATCACTAGTGATTTATATCTCTTTAATCTCTCAGTGTAATGTGACTTCATATCAACACCTGTGATATAAATAAACTGAGTGGGTCAGGTTGGGAAACCTGGTGAGTACATAGGGTTTTCAACCCACAATAATATAATTATCATGTTTAAGCAATCAAACAATCAAGCCAATTACCCATCCCCATTTTCTTCTTTACTCTTAAGGATCTATCCTAAGAGTCATATATTCTGCATTCGTTTATTCCGATGTCCCTTGCTTCCAAGGTTATAGGTTTGGCACTAAATCCATAACTGCCAATCCTCGTTCGTAAAGCACTAATTCCATAGCTGATATAGTTTATTCATCGGGTACTAAATCCATAGCTACAAGTGTTTATCTAATAGGTACTAAGTCCATAGCTACCAATTCCTAACAGGTACTAAGTCCATAGCTACCAGTGTTTGTCCAATAGGCACTAAGTCCATAGCTGCCGATGTTATTTATTAGGCACTAAGTCTATAGTTGCCAATGTTTACTCACATCATCTTTTATCTCTCATCATTCATCTACCCATGTCATACCCAACATGTTTGTATATATAAAATACATATACAGTTTAAATCATTTAAAATATGTATAAAAACGTTCATCCAGCATAGATAGCAAGTATTCAGACAATATGCACACATAGCACATACTTTATATAAAATACTTCATATCTATATTTAAGATGAAAGTAACTATGCACTCACATGATAAGGTGATGACTTGGTACTCAGACAGCACTTCGTTACTGTTAAAACAATTTCCCTCAGACAAAACCTAGTATCATTACCACTAGAGTTTAATCTAACGTTAATCTTGACTAATTAATAGTCTATATATTATTACTAGTATATAATCATTAAGAAAAACTCTTATATAACTCATAATAATAGCCCAAATACTCATTATAAGTTCCTAATAACGTTACTATATTAAAACATAAGCTATACTAAAGATAGGGTAGGCATAGCTCACTTACAATGGGTTTTTTCGCAACACCGGGCTTCGTTGGAGTAGTGTTTTGAAGCCAAAATTCTCTTTTCGTTGGACTCCGGGAGCCTCGGGGCTTCCTTCGGGTGCTAGGGGTTTTACCTAGACTTTAGGGGGCTTAAGGGAGCTTAGAGAGAGAGAGAGAGAGAGAGAGAGTGTGTGTGTGTAGAGAGAGAAAGTTGAAGGGTGAGGTGGGAGGAAGTTGGAATGCCCGTCAACTCTATTTATAGTGAAATTTCTGATGGACTCGCCGAGTTTTGACCAAAAACTCGCCGAGTTGGTGCATGTGGCAGCCTTCTGGTGGTGCCACGTCACCTAATATTGTGTATTAGCCTCCCGACTTAGAAATATCATAAATCTCACATACAAGCTCCATTTTCGACGTTCTTTATATCCACGTGTAAGTAAAATCAAGATCTACAACTTTCATTTAGATTCCATCGGCTAATTCTCGACCGATCTTAAATTTAACAGTAGGAGAAGATTAGACTGCTAAATGACCACAAAGAATTCGTAACTCCTTCATACAGACTCCGTTTCCGTCTGTCTTTTTACCATTGAGTATTATTAGTGAGATCTTCAAGACTCATCAAGGTCGTGTAAGCTAAAAACCCCTCGAACTAAAATTCGAGTTTCGGGCTGTACACTACTAAGCCGAAACTTTGAAAAATCATAACTTCCTCATACGAAGTCAGATTTGGGCGTTCTTTTTATGGATTTTCTCGGTTTAACATACTCTATGACTTTGGTTTAGATCACTAAGGCAAACAAGTTCTCCATCGTAAATTCACTATTTACGTCTCCCAGTGTCGTGCTGGTTTTGTCGAAAAAACTTCGACGTGCCATAACTTCTTCGTTATAACTCGGATTTCGGCGTTCTTTATATGTACGGAACCCTTGAGACATATTCTAAAACTTGGTTAAGATTATTTATTCTAAATAGTCTTTTGTCGAAA